ATGTGCCTTGGGGTTGCTCTTCTTGAGGAACATCTTTGTGGTGTTCTCTGTATTTCCTGGACTTGAGTGGTGGCCTGCCTTGCTAGGTTGGGGAAGTTTTCTCTTGGTAATATTCTGAAGAGTGTTTTCCAAGTTGGATTCATTCTCTCTGTCACATTCAGGTACACCTATCAAACGTAGATTAGGTCTTTTCACATAATCCCATATTTCTTGGAGGCTTTGTTAATTTCTTTTCACCCTTTTTTTCTCTAATCTTGCCTTCTCATTTTATTTCATTGAGTTGATCTTCAGTCTTTGATATCCTTTCTCCTGCTTGGTCAATTAGGATATTGAAACTTGTGTATGCTTCGCAAAGTTGTGCTGTGTTTTTCAGCTCCATCAAGTCGTTTATATTTTTCTCTAAGCTGTTTATTCTAATTAGCATTTCATCTAACCTTTTTTCAGGGTTCTTAGTTTCTTTGCATTAGGTTAGCAGATGTTCTTTTAGCTCTGAGAGGTTTGCTATTATCCGCCTTCTGCCTGTTTCTGTCAATTCATCAGATTCTTTCTCCATCCAGCTTTGTTTCCTAGCTGTTGAGGAGTTGTGATTCCTTGGAGGAGGAGAAGCATTCTGGTTTTTGGTGTCTTCATCCTTTTTGTGCTGGTTTCTTCCCATCTTCATGGCTTTATCTACCTGTAGTCTTTGTAGTTGGTGACTTTCAAATGGGGTTTCTGAGTGGACGTCCTTTTTGTTGATGTTGAAGCTATTTCTTTCTTAGTTTTCCTTCTAACAGCCAGGCCCTTCTGCTGCAGGACTGCTGGAAGTCCACTCCAGACTCTGCTTGCCTGGGGATCACCCGCGGGGGCTGTATAACAGTAAGGGGCTCCTGGTTTCTCCTTCTGTTGTCTTCGTCCCAGAAGAGTACCTGCCAGATGTCAGCCTGAGCTTTCCTTTATGAAATATCGCTTTTGATATACAGGAGTCAGGGAGCTGCTTGAGGAGACAGTCTATCCCTTATAGGAGCTCAAGTGCTGTGCTGGGAGCTCCGTTATTCCATGCAGAGCTGCTGGGCAGGTACGTTTAAGTCTGCTGCAGCCGGACTTATAAGTGCCTCTTTTCCGAGGTGCTCTGTCCTAGGAAGGTTGGGCTTTATTTATAAGTTCCTGATGTGCTGCTGCTTTTTTTCATAGATGCCCTGTCCCACACAGAGATAGTCTAGTCACAGTGTGCCAGCAGAGGTGTTGCTGAGCTGCTGCAGGTTCTGCCCAGCTGCTGTGTGAACTTCCTTGAGGTGTTGTTTTTAGAGGTACCATTAGAACTGCCTTTGTATTGGCGAACTGGCTCGGTAATGGCAGATGCCCTTCCCCCAACCAGGCTGGACCATCCTGGGTCCAGCTGCACTTACTGCAAAACTCTCAATCCAGAGCATTTCAGATTGTTTTGTAGGGGTGGTACCTGCTGAGCCAGATCACCTGGCTCCCTGTCTCGGCCCCCTCCCTCTCAGTTGAATTGGTGGCTCTGTCTCCTGGGCTTTCCAGGTGCCAGTTGAAATAACCGCCTGGATTTGTGTGAGTTTCTGTGCACTGACCCGCGGCTCCGGCTGAAGCAGCCATGCTGCAAACTTGTGACACTTTTCTGCCCGGGAATGTCCTTGTCCGTGGGCAGTGAAAACTCATTGGGAAATGCAGTGATCACTCACCCTCTTTGTTCTTGCTGGGAACTGCACTCCAGAGCTGTTCCTATTCAGCCATCTTTGAGTCATTATCTCTTGACCCGTGTTCAAATTCACCATTGTCTGTAAGCTGTTAATCCCATCTGAATAATTTATTGCAGACTTTATATTTTTTCAATTTTGGAATTTCCATATGATTGCTGTTAAATACACTTTTTCTTTGTTGTGATTTTCTACTTGTTTACTCTTTAGGAGCATGTTTTTCTGTAAGATGTTCTAAAGCTGCTCTGAAATTCTCATTTCTTAATTCTGATGTTTGGTCATTTCAGGGCTAGTCTTCACTGATGATTTTCTTTCTTGGGTATGGACCTTGTGTTTTGTTTCTTCATATGTTTAGAAATTTGGATCATCTTCATTTTTTTAAAGTGATTCATTGTAGAGAGGCAGGATTCTGTTATGTTCTTCTGAAGAGTACTGTTTTTTTGTTTGGTGCTGTTTTAACTGGTAGCTAACTTAACTGAAGTCAAACTCCAGAATCTATCTTTCTGGCAGTGGGGAGCTGCTGTGGTCTTTGTTTCATTCTGTTAGTAGATTTAGGTTTGGGCATAATAGGTTAGGTGTCAGAATGAGATCATACACAGATTCGACCCCTTCTGTGGCACCCTTCTTTCTAAGTTTCTGTTTCTCACTTTTCAGCTGCTGTGGTCACCCTAACCTCTGACGTCTGCTTCTTTGTGTCTGGGAGTCTGGGAGTTTTGTATTTGAGTTTTACCAGCCATGGCAGAACTTTATACACTCACACATCCAGAATGGAAATCAAAATTACAGAAATGGCAAATTCTGTGTATTAAAGGATCGTGGGGGTTCAGCAGACCACCTCAAATTAGATGATTTATTAGGAGGACTCCCAGGACTCAGGATATGATCCTTTCCTGGCTGTGATTTGTGATAGCAAAAGTACAGAGCACAGTCAGCAGTGAGAAGAAGCACTGGGGTGCGTCCAGAGCAGACCAGGCTCAGCCTCGCCTCTGGAGACTTTCTGCTTTAATCTCTCTGTGCAGCCAATGAATGAAGGAACCTAAAGCCTATGTCTTTTCTGCTTCAAAATTAATTGTATGAAAGTATGATGTATGTTTCATGAAAGCTTTCCCATGTGATTTTCTAAGTATGTGTCATAAGCATGTGGTTCACACACACTGGACAAGCCTGTCATCTTCATGGCTTTAAGGAAGGCAACACTTAGGTTATAGTGATTGTTACCTGCTCTAGCAAAAACATGTAAACAGATCTAGGAATTTATTAAACTGTCTTATAAAACTTATGAGGAATTGTGATGATTCCTGAATTCCCTCTGAATACTTAGATATCCAGGTGACTTCAAGATTTTCCTAAACAGGCTCCACCTCTACCATTGGAGCCCCACAGACAGGCCCTGGGGCTGCAAGCTGTGAGCGTCTCCCGCATGGTTTCGACTCACACCTGCTGCAAAAGCATGCTCGGTCGAGCTTAAAAATGATTTCTTTATTTAGTGACATTCTGCTTTATAGTGTTGGCACATAAAAATCTAAGAAAATCAATGATTACTTTTGGTAAATAATATATGACAAATATTAATTAGCAAATGAAAAATCTCTAAGTACTTTTACTAAATTATAACATTATAATCAATTCACATGTTCTGTATTCCAGGACCTTTTTTCTATCAGTGCTTACGTTTATGCGCAGAAACCACAACTGGATATTCACAGTTTTGAAGGCACATTTACCAGGGTAAGTTAAACCTGTTGTTCAATACAAATATAGTTATTGTGTAAGTTAAAAGTAGCAAACTTTTATTTGAGACAGTAATTCAATGAAGAATAAATTCAAACAGACGTTTCAAACTAGGGAGGGAAAACCTATGTAATGTTTGAAGTTCTTAAGTGTATCTGTATTAAGTATATCTTTGGGATACATTTATTACAGTTTTTGGAATTTTCTTTAGCATATTTACTAATAAGATCCTTATCTCCTAAAATAATATGAGTGACTTAAATGAAATAATTTATTTCCATTTTGACTGAATAATTGGTATACTATGATATCGACATCATGTCTAGCCTTCTGCTATCTGAGTTGGGTGGGTATTTGTATGTCTGTGAGTCTGTACATGTGTGTTATGTTTCTTTATACACGTATGTATATTTCATGCCACCTACTTTTGTATTATTATAGAGTTTTGTTAAAGCTGGAAGCACTCTGCCCCTGATTGATAGGGCTTGAGAAACTCATTAACTCTTTATTTTAATGGCTTATAACTGATATTATAAATGCTTTATAGTAAAGGATTTTAGTATATGACTATAGTTTATTTTTAATTGCTGCAGCTATTATTTTAGTTAGGCAAAAAATTTTTTTAGGTGCATTCACCTTTGTTTCACTCTTAGTCACTTGCAGGGGCTAGCAAGCAGTTGTGATCACTTGCAGAAGTATTTACAGAGCTTATCTAGTGTGACAGTTAATGTGCACACTGTGGGAACGTGAAGTGAGGGCACCTGTGAGGCCGCGAGAGTCCGGCGGACTGCTGGGCCTTTATAGCTGCTCATGTCATAGGTGCGGCACACAAGCATGTATACGAGCTTAATGGAGGGACAGCAAAGGAAGCGTATCCTGGTGATAAGCATCATGGAATGAATTCTGAAACAAACTCATATCTTTTCTTTTTTAAACAAAAATAGTTATTATAAAAACAGTATGTTTTTTTCTTTTTTATTGCATTTTAGGTTTTGGGGTACATGTGAAGAACATGCAAGATTGTTGCATAGGTACATACCTGGCAGTGTGATGTGCTGCCTTCCTCCCCATCACCTATATATGGCATTTCTCCCCATGCTATCCCTCCCCAACTCCCCACCCCCCCGCTGTCCCTCCCCTGTTTCCCCCCAACAAACCCCAGTGTGTAGTGCTCCCCTCCCTGTGTCCATGTATTCTCATTGTTCAACACCCGCCTACGACTAAGAACATGTGGTGTTTGATTTTCTGCTCTTGTGTCAGTTTGCTGAGAATGATGCTTTCCAGGTTCATCCATATCCCTACAAAGGACACGAACTCATCATTTTTGATGGCTGCATAATATTCCATGGTGTATATGTGCCACATTTTCCCTTTCCAGTCTATCATCGATGGACATTTGGGTTGGTTCCAGGTCTTTGCTATTGTAAACAGTGCTGCAATGAACATTCATGTGCATGTGTCCTTATAGTAGAACGATTTATAATCCTTTGGATACATACCCAGTAATGGGATTGCTGGGTCAAATGGAATTTCTATTCCTAGGTCCTTGAGGAATCGCCACACTGTCTTCTACAATGGTTGAACTAATTTACACTCCCACCAACAGTGTAAAAGTGTTCCTATTTCTCCACATCCTCTCCAGCATCTGTTGTCTCCAGATTTTTTAATGATTGCCATTCTAACTGGCGTGAGGTGGCATCTCAATGTAGTTTTGATTTGCATTTCTCTAATGACCAGTGATGATGAGCATTTGTTCATATGTTTGTTGGCCTCATGTATGTCTTCTTTTGTAGAGTGTCTGTTCATATCCTTTGCCCACTTTTGAATGGGTTTCTTTGTTTTTTTCTTATAGACCTGTTTTAGTTCTTTGTAAATTCTGGATATCAGCCCTTTGTCAGATGGGTAGACTGCAAAAATTTTTTCCCATTCTGTTGGTTGCCGATTCACTCTAATGACTGTTTCTTTTGCCGTGTGGAAGCTGTGGAGTTTGATTAGGTCCCATTTATCTATTTTGGCTTTTGTTGCCAATGCTTTTGGTGTTTTGGTCATGAAGTCCTTGCCTACGCCTATGTCCTGAATGGTTTTGCCTAGATTTTCTTCCAGGGTTTTTATGGTATTAGGTTTTATGTTTAAGTCTTTAATCCATCTGGAGTTAATTTTAGTGTAAGGTGTCAGGAAGGGGTCCAGTTTCTGCTTTCTGCACATGGCTAGCCAGTTTTACCAACACCATTTATTAAACAGGGAATCCTTCCCCCATTGCTTATTTTTGTCAGATTTGTCAAAGATCAGATGGTTCTAGATATGTTGTGTTGCCTCCAAGGCCTCTGTTCTGTTGCATTGGTCTATATCACTGTTTTGGTACCAGACTATGCTGTTTTGATTACTGTAGCCTTGTAGTATAGTTTGAAGTCCGGTAGTGTGATGCCTTCTGCTTTGTTCTTTTTGCTTAGAATTGACTTGGCTATGACAGCTCTCTTTTGGTTCCATATGAAGTTTAAGGTGGTTTTTTCCAGTTCTGTGAAGAAGGTCATTGGTAGCTTGACGAAAATAGCGTTGAATCTGTAAATTACTTTGGGCAGTATGGCCATTTTCACGATATTGGTTCTTCCTAACCATGAACATGGAATGTTTCTCCATCTGTTTGTGTCCTGTCTTATTTCGTTGATCAGTGGCTTGTAGTTCTCCTTGAAGAGGTCCTTTACGTTCCTTGTTAGTTGTATTCCTAGGTATTTTATTCTCTTTGTGGCAATTGTGAATGGCAGTTCGTTCTTGATTTGGCTCTCTTAAAGTCTGTAATGGGTGTACAGGAATGCTTGTGATTCTTGCACATTGATTTTGTATCCTGAGACTTTGCTGAAGTTGCTTACCAGTTTCAGGAGATTTAGGGCTGAGATGATGGGGTCTTCTAAATATACAATCATGTCGTCTGCAAATAGAGACAATTTGACTTCGTCCTTTCCTATTTGAATGCCCTTTATTTCTTTTTCTTGCCTGATTGCTCTGGCTAGAACTTCCAGTACTATATTGAATAGGAGTGGTGAGAGAGGGCATCCTTGTCTAGTGCCAGATTTCAAAGGGAATGCTTCCAGTTTTTGACCATTCAGTATGATATTGGCTGTAGGTTTGTCGTAAATAGCTTTTATTATTTTGAGATACGTTCCGTCAATACCTTGTTTGTTGAGGGTTTTTAGCATAAAGGGCTGTTAAATTTTGTCAAAGGCCTTCGCTGCATCAATTGAGATAATCATGTGGTTTTTGTCTTTGAATGTGACAAAGAGAATGAATCCAAGCTGGAAAATACTCTTCAGAATATTATCCAGGAAAACTTCCCCAACCTAGCAAGGCAGGCCAATATTCAAGTCCAGGAAATACAGAGACCACCACAAAGATACTCCTCAAGAAGAGCAACCCCAAGGCACATAATCGGCAGATTCACCAGGGTGGAAATGAAAGAGAAAATACTAAGGGCAGCCAGAGAGAAAGGTCGGGTTACCCACAAAGGGAAGCCCATCAGACTCACAGCAGATCTCTCAGCAGAAACCCTACAAGCCAGAAGAGAGTGGGGGCCAATATTCAACATCCTAAAGTTCTTAAAGAAAAGAACTTTCAACCCAGAATCTCCTATCCAGCCACACTAAGCTTCATAAATGAAGGAATAATAAAATCCTTTGCGAACAAGCAAGTACTCAGAGATTTCTTCACCACCAGACCTGCTTTACAAGAGCTCCTGTAAGAGGCTCTACACATATAATGGAACAACCAGTACCAGCCACTCCAAAAACATACCAAATGGTAAAGAGCATCAACACAATCAAGAATCTGCATCAACTAACGAACAAAACAGCCAGCTAGCATCAAAATGGCAGTATCAAATTCACACATAACAATATTATCCCTAAATGTAAATGGACTAAATGCCCCAATCAAAAGACACAGACTGGCAAATTGGATAAAAAGCCAAAATCCATCAGTGTGCTGTATCCAGGAAACCCATCTCACATGCAAGGATACATGAAGGCTCAAAATAAAGGGATGGAGGAAGATTTACCAAGCAAATAAAGAGCAAAAAAAAAGGAGGAGTAGCAATTCTCATCTCTGATAAAATAGACTTTAAAACAACAATGATCAAAAGAGACAAAGAAGGACATTACATAATGGTAAAACGATCAGTGCAACAAGGAGAGCTAACAATCCTAAATATATACACACCCAATACAGGAGCACCGAGATACATAAGGCAAGTTCTTAGTGACTTACAAAGAGACTTAGATTCCCACGCAGTAATAGTGGGAGACTTTAACACCCCATTGTCAATATTAGACAGATCAACCAGACAGAAAATTAACAAGGATATCCAGGACCTGAACTCAGACCTGGAACAAGCAAACCTAATAGACATTTACAGAACTCTCCACCCCAAATCCACAGAATATACATTCTTCTCAGTACCACATCACACCTACTCTAAAATTGATACCTGATGCTTTGTAGAGGCAGGAGGGCATGGAGGAGGGTACCTGATGCTTTGTAGAGGCAGGAGGACGTGGAGGAGCAGGTACCTGTTGCTTTGTAGAGGCAGGAGGATGTGGAGGAGCAGGTACCTGATGCTTTGTAGAGGCAGGAGGACGTGGAGGAGCAGGTACCTGATGCTTTGTAGAGACAGGAGGACGTGGAGGAGCAGGTACCTGATGCTTTGTAGAGAAAGGAGGGCATGGAGGAGGGTACGTGAGGCTTTGTAGAGGCAGGAGGGCGTGGAGGAGCAGGTATCTGATATTTCATAAAAGGTGAATCAGAGTACCTGCAGGCCTGTGACCCATTATAGCATCATGCTAGTGGACACTGGAGATGAAAGAAATCTTGTTTCCTGTGGAAATTAGCAAAAGAATTTCATGAATATTCTTTTATTTATTGGACAGTGTTCGTTGCCTATTCCGTGCTAGGTGCTAGGAAGGTAAAACACCCATAAAACACGAGATTAGGAACATGCCAGTTGCTCTGATACAATAAAATTCTGAATTTATTGAAGATAAAAATTTTATTTGCTTCATGCTTTAAAACGATAACTATAGAATTCAGTATTTGGCTTCCTAATGCCAACTGTATGCTCAGTTGGCTGTGCCAGTGCTGGAACCCCTAGACCCACAAGCAGTTAAAGGATATACCGTGTTGACTGTATCTGGGAAGTAGCAATGAGGATATGTGTCTTTTTTTTGTTTCTTCAGCAGTGTTAAGCTGAATTAGACTGTAACAGCAGTTTTATGAAATCGGCCATTATAGTGCAGTCCTAAATTCAACTACAAAGTAGTCTAATCCATAGAGAATACTTGCTTTTGTTTTTAAGTTGATTTTTTTTTTTTTGTTCTACAAACTTATAAAAGTCATAGGGAAAAGTCAGTTTGCCTGGATTGTTTATCTCAGCATTGGATAAATTGTTATGTATTTTAAAGACTGTAATGATAACCTGTTAGCTACTGTCCAGGAGCTTACTTTGATCTAGTATATTTGGTATTTGTAAACATATTAGTATGAAACTATTAGTATTTTGCATCTCCATACAGGTTAATTATTAGATTTTTATAAGTTGTAACTGCTAAGTACAACAAAGTGTGTAACATGTTGTACTTGATAAACTGGAATTGAAGGAAGTCATTCCTAAGGGAATGTAGAATTGAAGGTATTTGTGAATCTGCAGAAATAGTAATAGGTCCATGCTAGAGTCAGCACATGGTGTAGACAGATTGTTTCCATCGAGGCTGTGTCTGTAGGCTGACTGCTTCCTTAAGACCATTGAAGTCACTGAGAAGACCCGTTTGTGTCCCTTGTTGTGGCTGGCATTGCACTTCTGCCTACTGAGAGCGTATTGTTGATGTTGTAACCAAGGCACTGTTTAGTTAAATGCCAGTGGATATTTTTGAAATGATTTTTTTTTTTTCCAAAGAAGCAGCACTCCATCTGTGTCATAAACAGTTCTAGCATCATAGCTTTCACTCTCCCAAAGGCTGAGATGCTAAGGCCAGTCTTCAGGTCAGCTGGTCGCCTTCTTGTGAAGGGACGTAGTGAAAAGTTCATGCTCCTCAGGGCCCTGGGAGTCTGACCCTGAGCTGCGCCTGCATTGCAGGAAGCTTTCCAACTACTGGGCCTGCCGCTAGAGGCTTAAGAGGCAACTGGAGGCCAAACCCCTTCCTCAAATTAAATGTCATTGAAAATACTTTAGTTTCTGAATAATTGCAATATGAAGGGAAATATTTTGGAAACTGTTAAGATTGGTTTAGATTCTGTGCCTCACAAATAAATAAATCAAGTATATGAGAGAATCAACTATCAAGCAAACGTCTTCCAAGTAATAAGCAAAATGGCCACAACTTACATCATTTGAAAGAGGTTTGATAAGTAAATAGAAGGAAAACACCAGTAGCATAAACATATTTTATACATGCAGCTTATTTTGGAAAATATGTTTTCTGTTTCTTTCCTTCCTTCCCAAATTTGATTCCTTTTTTTTTTTTTTAATATATATCTTGATAGCAAATTATCATCTCATAATAAAATACAGTTCTGTGGAGGTGGCATTACTTTACGGGAGACGCCCAACAGTCAGGACAGTGGATGGCTCTTACTCTATGCAGACATCGAGGTCATTGCCTCCCACACGGGAAGTCTTTGCTTGTGTTACTTCTAGATGCAGGGCTGTGGACTCCTGCACTCCCTTATTTTAGTGACGCTTCCATAACTACAATGTAGGCTATGACTTTAGGTTGAGATGAAAAAATTCCCAGATTTTAAATTGTAGTTTTCATCTCTGAGTATGAATATTAAAAGTGTAAGTGTAAAACTAGACTGTATGTATTCCTATTGTGATACTGATGTGTGGCCATATTTGTTTGTTACCTGTTTAGGTAATTAGCATCATATAACTTACTTGAATTTTGTTTAATTAAGAATATTCAGCGCAATAAGCGCATACTTTTAAAGAGGAATTTAAGAGAAATGACATTTAAAAATATATGTTTCTTCCATAACAGTATTCACAGAACCATTTTTTCTCTCATTAATACATGTACACTTGAAAAGCATAGCCCGCGTCCTTAACGAGTGATAGGGAGAGGAAATTACGCTATGTATGCAAAAGAAATGTTGAAGAGTTGATTTGTGGTTATTTCTGTGGTAGTATTTTCTTTCCCAGGAGTGTTCCTAAATGACGTATTGAAGATGTAGTTGAATAAGCTGGGCATGCTGGGTGGTCGAATAAGCTGGGCATGCTGGGTGGTCGAATAAGCTGGGAATGCTGGGTGGTCGAATAAGCTGGGCATGCTGGGTGGTCGAATAAGCTGGGCATGCTGGGTGGTCGAATAAGCTGGGAATGCTGGGTGGTTGAATAAGCTGGGAATGCTGGGTGGTCGAATAAGCTGGGCATGCTGGGTGGTCGAATAAGCTGGGAATGCTGGGTGGTTGAATAAGCTGGGAATGCTGGGTGGTCGAATAAGCTGGGCATGCTGGGTGGTCGAATAAGCTGGGAATGCTGGATGCACCTGTAAGCCCAGCTACTTGGGAGTCTCACATGGGAGGATTGCTTGAGCTCAGGAGTTTGATATCAGCCTGAGCAACATAATAAGACCTCATAAATAAATATTAGAAGATATAGTACTTTCATGAAAATTTAGAATTATTTTGTGTATTAATGTTAAGCACTAAAAGCAATTAATTGATTACAGGAGTTCTTTAAACTTGTAGTTTCAATTATACACACACACACACACACACACACACACACACACACACACACATTTTTTTTTGAGATGGAGTCTCACTCTGTCGCGAGGCTGGAGTGCAGTGGCAGGATCTCGGGTCACTGCAACCTCCACCTCCCGGGTTGAAGCGATTCTCCTGCCTCAGCCTCCTGAGTAGTTGGGATTATAGGCAGGTTCCACCACACCCAGCCAGCTAATTTTTTTTGTATTTTTAGTAGAGACGGGGTTTTACCATGTTGGCCAGGATGATTTTGATCTCCTGACCTCATGATCCGCCCGCCCGCCTCAGCCTCCCAAAGTGCTGGGTTACAGGATAATCCCTGTTTTCTAACTTTGATTTTGCAGTGCTTTTGTACTGCTGTTGAGTTGGATTGAGCTTGTGGACCTGTTTCTAACACTGGTGATATCAAAGGCATGAATCATGAACAATCACTAATTTGCCACTTTTGTTTTCTTTTTGTTTCCCTGCACAGGAAGACAGCGACCCGCCCATTCATGAAAGTCTCAGCATAGAAAATACATTGTGGGCAAGCACAATTGTCGCATCAGGTAAGGAAAGGAAAACATTTTCCTCTGCGTGTGATTGCTCCCGATAGATGATGCTTCGTTTTGTCCAGGGACTCCAAACAAGTGTTTCTCACAGTGCCCTGAAATACTTAGGGACCTTGCTAAATGCAGACTCCAGCTCAGTGGGTATGAGACAGTCCTAGGAGTTTGTGCTGAGGCCTGTGCTGTGGCCAGAGACAGGGAGAGGCACTGCAGCCTTCCTGCAGGGGACAGGCACGTTCGTCTTTGACCTATGTTTTCTTGACAGGTGTGTCAGTGTTCCTTAATGGGAGGCACCACAGAAGAGTTTGGGAAGCCACTGGTGGTTTTAGGTGGCTCTGAAATTCCTCTGACAAGGGTCGGCAGGAGGATAGCGTGGCCAGAGTGACTGTGAAACAGAAAAGTATTGAAAGAGGCCAGGCGTGCTGTGAGAGGCAGATGATGTCAGATGATTAGTTGACACTGAGGATGATGTTTGGAAGGAAGCTGATGAGACATTATGTGGTGCTGATAGTGATGCTGGGGAGGGCGTTTAGCAGGAATGGGTTGGTGTTGATGCTGGTGCCAATAACGGTGCTTGGCAATAGGGAGCTGTAGGAGAGAGGGCATGAAAGATGATGGCAGGTGAGTGCAAGGCTGGACTTGTTGGTGCAGCCCAGTGCTGGCAGCCCTTCTCTCCGAGATGCCACTCACTCCCCATGTGTGTGCATGGGGCCCCCGTTCTACACCAGGCACGGTGATGTGGTCTGGGGCGAGGCAGTTACAGATCTTGTCCTGGGCGAGCTTATGGTTTTGTGGACAGAGATGAAGAAAGTTGTACTAGATAATGTTACCGTGCTGAGTGTCACAAACAACTATGAGTGCTGTGCATTTTGTAATTCAAGAAGCTTATATAGACCAGGTCTAGGGACAGCTTTTCTGAAGAAGAAACATTTAAATTAGGTTTAAAGAGTATGCAGATGTGGCAAGGTGGGATGGGTGGCAGGAACAGTGTGAGGAGCATTCGTGGCAGAAGCCTAGTGCTGAGAGACAGTACCTTGAAGAAAAGGATCCAAGGGCCAGTGTGCCTGGCCATGGAGAAGGAAGGTGTCACCACAGGGAAGCTTTGTGTGCTTGTGTTTAAAATTTGGCCTGCAGGTTTGCAAAACTACACAACAGATTCCTAGAGGAGGACACATGTTAGCTTTTGGGAGGATCGAATTCGAAAGAGGATTGATTTTATTCTAGAGTTTTAATCTTTAAAAAATGCTTGATGAGTATATGACAGTTTTAATAGGGGACAATTCTGTGGGTGTTTGATGATGTTATTTATATATAAATTACATCTAAATATATAAATGTTATATATACATATATAACATTGTATTTGCATATGTAAATGTTATGTAAACATTTATATATATATAAATTTCTTAACATATGAAGAGAGAGAATAAGGATGGTTTTCCATAAAGAGACTTCAGAGGCGAGCAGGGTAGGTTCTGGGCTCTGTAGGCCTAGGAGAGGGAATTTACACCAGAAGCACATCTCAGGGAAGGACACATGGGCCCTGGGTTCTGAAGGCCTCAGGGAGGGATTTCACACCAGGAGCACATCTCAGGGAAGGACACATGGGCCCTGGGTTCTGAAGGCCTCAGGGAGGGATTTCACAGCCAGAGGACATCTCAGGGGTGGACATACGGGCCCTGGGCTCCGTAGGCTTCAGGAAGGGATTTCACACCAGGTGAACATCTCAGGGGTGGACACGAGCCCTGGGCTCTGTAGGCCTCAGGGAGGGATTTCATACCAAGACGACAAGGGGTGGACATGTGGTTCCTGGGCTCTGAAGTCCTCGTGGGGGGATTTCACACCAGGAGAACATCTCAGAGGTGGACACACAGGCCCTGGGCTCGGTAGGTCTCAGGGAGGGTCTTCACATCATGGACAGGCACATTCATCTAAGGAAACCTGCCCTGAAACTTTCTTCATGCTGCTGTCTTGGTGTTGCTGAGAGGCATGAGTGTTACCAGCCTCTATGCTAGGTGGTGAGTATGGTCAGTGCTGGCCTGGCCTCACGCTGAATGGCTGCACTTGTGGGGTGTGTTACCCCTACCAGTTACCACAGAGCCAGGCTGCACCTGGACCAGAATGGAGTCCAGCTGCACCTTCCTCTAAAGCCAGTGTCCTCAATCGCTTGGCCTCAGTAGTGATATGAAAGCATTAATGATGCAGGACCCAGAAGCTGACACATGGGGAGGAGGCTTACATTTGCCATATGTAGTTATTACAGCCTGTTTTTCACATCTTATTGATACTGATTACTGTTAATTATGGATCATTCATGAAGATAGTAATGCTTCTCTTTTTAAAATACATTCCATCTTTTGTTTCCTGGGGCCTGTATAAACGTAAATTAAACGTTGTTACTGATCCCTAGTACTGTTGATTTGTGGCCCTTCTTCTGAGGGAGACTAAAGCTCCTTGAGCTAAGGCTTTTGAGACATCATGTTCAGTTCCCTGGACAGTTTTCTCTCCTGACCTTAGTTCTCTTGATGACCTTGGCAAGTGGGAGCCACTAGCTGGACAGTAACTGGGCCTCATAACATGCCAGCCCTATCCCACCCTTGCTGTTCTCTTTGCCATCTAGCATTCAGTGCCATGTCTTCCTAGTGGGCATAAAGATGGCTTTTAAACCATCCACTCGAGAAGCTTAAGTAAGGTGCCTTTAATGTTAGTTTGTGCTTGAACATCTTTAAATGTGAGCTTTTTCTTTAATTTCAACTCTTAATACAAACATATCTTTATTTAAAAGGCTTATTAGTGTAAACAGCTACCAAATTCTGTATATTATCACATGCTATATCCTAAGGAATGTTCGAAAGACTTTAAGATTTCCAGAGTAACCTAAGCACTCTTGTATTCTTTGTAATTGATTCTAAGTCTAGAATTCCTTTTAACCTTTAAAAGTTGTATGTCAGTTGAATTCAAGTTGACTCTGAAGGGGAGGTGAACTTGGTCCTTCTCCCCTGTCCTAGGGCTCTGAATGCTTGGAAACCAGGACTCCAGTTAGACATGACAGACAGATGCACCAGACAAGAGGTGACCGAAGGCAGGACACAGGGAGCCTGCTGTGCTGCCTGAGGTTGTGCTTCCCGTGTGGATTTAGAAAACTTGTTCTCTAAAATACAGAACCAGGTCCTGGAGAACTGCCATGTTTATTATAGTGAGGAGCATACGAAGGAGTATTCCTGATGCTCAGCTGCTACAAACCTGGAAAGAAAGCTGGACTCCCTAAGGCAGAGTCAACAAAAGTATGACAGGGCTGTCAGAGGGCAATCCCTGGCCACGTGGACCTAACCTGGGTGCAGGTCTTCTGGTCACTCAGTGGACCAGCCACGTGGAGTCTAGGCCTGGGTGTGGGTCTCCTGTGTCTCTGTGTCCTGGCTGTGTGGACTCGGCCTGGGTGTGGGTCTCCTGTGTCTGTCTCTCAGCTGTGTGGACTCTAGACCTCTTGTTGGGGTCTCATTTGTACTCTGTATGCCAGTCTTGGTCTAGATTTTTTACATCCTGGGACCCAGTTCACACTTGTCATCAGTTTTCCTACACTCAGGTGTGGTAAGAGTTGTGTGTGCAGTCTCAGTGTCTGCCTTGCTATGGGGTCAGCCAAGGAATGCCTGCCTCAGGGAGCAGTGCACGCTGAGTTTCTGTGGCAGTTGGCTCCTGGAGGGCATCAGTAAGTTGGAGTGTGTCAGAGGCTGGTGTGTGTGGCCCTGCCTGCTTTCGCTAATGTTATCCAGCAGGTTTGTGTTGTATAATTGATAGTCAACAAATACATGGATTTGTTAATACCTCTGTCTCTCATTAGACACATGTGAAATACGTATTTTTTTTTTTTAGTAAGCATTTCACATTCTTTTGATTTAATAGCTTAAGGCCATTAATTGTTTTGTTAAAGTGGTCTAGGTTTTATATTTTGTGTTTTTATACAATTTTCTGTGAATCATCTTAATTTGAGTTTGTGAGGATTGGTTTATTATCTGCAAATTAAATATATCAGTGTTTATAAATAGCAACTAAAAGAGTTGCATTGCAATAGGCTGATCATTTGAAATATTAAGTGGACTACTTGTTTTAAAGTGCTGGGTTATGTTTTGTGATATAAATTAGAAATGTTTATATAAAGGAGAGTATCTTTTTCTACAGAATTTGACCTTGTTAGCATTCTTTGTCTTGCTTTGCATCATGAAAATTGTTTGCTTAAAATACAAGTGTACTGTCAATTAGAAGGTGGTATGATTTTGCGTGAAATTTTCTATATGGCATACAGCAAGGAAGTCACATAATAACTAAGAAAGTAACTGTTATCCCACTTATGTGAAATTGTGATTGAACAGAAGTTGGACGTAGAATTGGACTGTAGAATGCCTTGCAGACTTGAACCACATAGTAGCCTCTTTAGAAGCTTTAGAAGCAGGCTAAGTCTCAAGAGCCCTAGTCACAGGGTCTGTGGAGCATAGGAGTAAGTGTGGTCATATTTTATGCCTCTTTTTTGGACCCAAAGCATCTGAATATTTTATATTCATTTTTAACTGTAGTCAGTTTGAAGTGTGCAGTTATGGATCAGGTAAATGTAATCACTGGCTTTGAAGACTAAGTGCTCCTAAATCTTTTAAAATGCTTTACTGTAATAAATGGAGTTAAATTTTTGATTTCATTATGAATACTGGACCAGCAGTGTTTCTAGGGTCCTGTTAAGAACTGGTTTGTTGTTGTAGTTGTGGTCCCCCCACCCACCAAGACTGAGTCCCGCCCTCTTGCCCAGGCTGGAGTGCAGTGGCTCCGTCTCAGCTCACTGCAACCTCTGCCTCCCAGGTTCAAGCAGTTCTTCTGCCTCAGCCTCCTGAGTAGCTGAGATTACAGGCACCCACCACCACGCCTGGCTAATTTTGTGTATTTTTAGTAGAGATTTTGTTTCACCATGTTGGCCAGACTGGTCTCAAACTCCTGACCTCGTGATCCGTCCACCTTGGCCTCCCAAAGTGTTGGGATTACAGGCATGAGCCACTGCTCCTGGCCGGTTGTGGTTTTAATCTACCAACATAGTCCTGAACTCAGTTCTTTCTGATGTAGAAGTTTCTCCAGTTGGAGCCCGTTGTGAGGGAGGTAGACCTTGATTTTACACTGAAAATATGGGTTAAAGTTTTGGAATTCTCCTGTTCACGTATTTTATTTACTGAGAAATCTTTGTGACATTTTATATTTGTCATGTTCAGCTTCCTCTTATGCAACACAAAATCAGTTTGTCATATTTTGTTGCCCTTTTGTGTCTCGTTTTCATAATCCGTGGTTAACCCCCTTTCCTCTGTTCTTTTTGCCTTGTATAAGGGTTTTACTCAATCTTTTAGCCTATGAGAATGGAAAATGTTCCAAATATTTCTGTATTGATTCTAGTTATGCCAGATATTAAAAAGCATGACAGAGAAATTCATTTACTCTAATTGTAGTGAGTATTCATTTTTCATGAGAATCAAGTGAGAGAATACTTATGAGAGCCTTTAGCAAACCTTAACAGACTATACAAATATTGTATCAGGACCTCTTGAAAACTTATGTGTGCCTTGTCATTTATCACATTTAATTTTGGTACTGTAAATTGTAAGGCCACTCTAGAATCCACTTTGCTCATCAATCTGCTTTTAGGTCAAGGTTTTCTAGCTTGATTAATTCTTGGAAAGGCTTCTCTGAGATTTGCTCATTTTGTTAATGTTAAAAAAATTAATTTTGCAGTTTGCCTTGTTACATCATTGTGATAATTTAACATTAGCGGGATGTTTATATTTTGATTAAGTTAAACTAAATTGATGAAACAAAATTCTGATCAGATGATATTTAATATTTAGCTTAACTGATATAAAGTAATTCTATGATTTCTTTTTTGAAAGCTTTTTATAGTACTATTGTATTATTATATATTTGATATTTCTTTGCATAGTAAGTATAGTCTAATCTCAGAAGTTTATGTGGATAATAATAGTCAAGACGGCATTTGTGCATCTGGGAGCTTGTATTCAAAGTGTGAGCTGGTTGTGCCTTCATGAACTTTTACAAACTGAAGCCTCAAACTTTCTCAGTGACAATCAAAAGAGAAATATATATAATCTCTACACATATCACTGCTGGGGAATACTTTACATCTTCCTCCTTCCGAGATTTTCTAGAGAGGAAGGTGTAAGCTATGTGATGTGTATGATATGTAACATATCAAGGTTCACAGAAAGCTGAAAGAGTTCATATCAATCGTCTTTACTTCAAAGAGCCTGTCTTATGATGCTCTAAATTTTACATGTTAATTTAATGTGACATCAAAGTGTTTTTGTATAATTATTATAGTTAATTCTGTAATGATAATAGCACTGAGTATTATGTGTATATACTTTCTCACCTTAATTGTTTCTCACCTTCAACATTTACAAAAAGTTAAGGATGACAATTAGGAATATAAATTATATATGGCTGCAGTTTCAGAAAGAGAGTTACGGTTTTTAATACTGACGTTCTAGAAATAAGTGCCCTTTAGCCTTTGCAATCTCTGGGTCATTCCAAGAGTATTTTATTCTTTTCTCTTAAGTTTAAAAATTATTGTATCTTTTTATGTATAAAAGAGAGTAATAGCTTCTAAATGCAAAATCAAATATTGTTTTTTGTGATATTCCTATTTTAATTGAATACATTTTGAAATGTTAGCAAAGGCTGTCACTGATAATTAGTAATACTTTGATCTTTACAGTGGAAATATGCTAAAAAAAATCTGGTTCAACTGGTACCATCTTTGTTTGAAAGTCAAAGGACAAGTTTGATCAGTTAACCTCTTAATTAACCTTCAGTGATAGAACCACCATTTTAGTAGACAGTAGTGAAAGACCATTGTCATTCTTTCTGTTGTCAGTGAAAACAATATTAGTACATTTCCTAATGTTATAGGTAGGTACATTTGTATTGCTTAGCAAATCGTTTGACTTTATCAGAGTCCATTTTTAGAGCTGAGATTAGATTTTCTTAAAATAGCCAAAATAAATACACTATTGGATAAATTTATATAAAATAAAATAGTGTGATAATGCTTTCCGTCAAAACAGTTAATTAGAAAGTGTTGTCTTTTACTCACCTTTAAAGTATTTCTATAAGGACCACTTTCATGTTTTTGCAGGTACTGTAATAGGTGTTGTCATTTATACTGGAAAAGAGACTCGAAGTGTAATGAACACATCCAATCCAAAAAATAAGGTAGGCTAGATTGAGGAGCAACTGCTTTGATTAACTTGTTTTTCCTTTCAGTGACAAAGTCTGCATAGTTCTGAATAGCTCATTCTTTTGGCTTAATATATTTCTTAAAATAGACTTTCGAAAATGTTGGTGACTTAGGATATGAATGTTTATATAACAACATTCTCATACTGAAGAATTTCTAAAAGTAACGTTGCTTAGCTAATCAGTTTTATATGTGTCTTAAATTTTCATCATTAGATATATAATTTGCCTATAATTTGACAGTTAATTGTGGCTGTATAATTTCTTATCTTCAGTCTATTTATTTTACAATTTGTACTCTTTTATGCTGATGGTTCATTTTAAAATAAAGGAATCTGTATTAATTTTTTTTAGTATTTAATTTGATGTTATAGTATTAAACCAGTTTATTTTCATTTTATAAGAAGCATATTGAAAGCCAAAATTTGGTTTTAAAGACTGATTATATCCTAAATTGGTTATATTTCTAAAATTGTTATTTATGCATCTAACGTGTGTAAATTTAATCATAACAGAAAGTCTGAATCATCAGTAGTTGCTATCATCATGATACCATACATGAGATGAAGCCACAGTATGTGCTAACATCCAGTTAATGAGAAGCTCTTCTTGAGTATTGATTTTACTCATTTTTATTTAAAATGTAATTTGTGTGCATTTAAATGAAATGAAAAATCTTTACATGCATTTATGCCTCACTCCGTGGGTAATTAATAGTAAAAGTTATCTTTTGGTATTTTTTGCTGGAAATCTTACTACAGCACAGTGGAAATCAAATAATTCTTTGAAAAGACAGGCCAAGCGTAGTGGCTCATGCCTCTAATCCCAGCATTTTGGGAGGCTAGATCACTTGAGGCCAGAAGTTTGAGACCAGGCTGGCCTCAAGTGATCCAGCCTCCCAAAGTGTCTCTACTAGAAATGAAAAAATTAGCCAGGCATTGTGGTGGGCATCTGTAGTCCCGCTATGCATTAGAACATTCTAGTTTTGTGGTCAGGCGCGGTGGATCGCCTGTAATCCCAGCACTTTAGGAGGCTGAGGCACCTACAAATTCTAGGGGTTTTATTTATGATGTTTGAGGGTAAATTTAATTTTCAATATGAATTTAAAATCTTAAAAGCTACACTGCCTTTTACTGTGACTTTTTTTAGCCCATCTTTTTCTTCATTCAACTTATTTTCTGTCATTTTTTTCCTCCAGTCAGTCTCTATTATTTCTTCCCACCTCTATCCATTAAGCTCTTTATCAGGGTCCTGACTGGATTGGAGCGGCCTCTTAGTTTTGCAACTGTGCTTTGGAATCCAGCCCTGGAAGCTCGCTGCTGAGTCCGTGCCCAGGCCTTGGTGCACACTGGTGCTTCACTCAGCGCATTCATCCTTCCCTCTGAAGTGGGGTTGGACCCTCATTGCTAGTCAAGAAATGGTTATAACTAGCTTGTGCAAGGCAATAGGTTCTGTACTGTCTAGCTACCTTGTGGCCTAGAAATTCTTCCAGTTTCTACTGTCTCTGCATTCTTTCACTCCCTCTTCTTTTCCCTATTCCTCTCTCCTTGTCCTTTCTTAAAAAATTGCCTTCTAAATTTACTTAGTGTTGGCATAATATATCTCATAATTGAAAGGGCATCTTTGGCATTTTACAGAATTGGATTTAATTCTTGCTGTTTACCATGTTAGCTTTTCAACCTGATATACAAGTGAGTGGCTGGTATCTTCCTGGTGCTTAATACATGCTCAGTCCTCCCTTCCCAATAGGGATTCACAGTAGCAGTTATAGCTCCAGCTTGGAGAGCACTTACCACGTGGTGGGCACTTTTCTAAAACTTTACATGCATTAATCTCGAATGCACAAGACAGCTCCCAGGGAGAAGAGTGTGTTCCTGGTTGTAGAGCAGGGGAGATTGCAGGGCATGTAGCCGTGCCACGCCTCCAGACGGAGCCCTGCAGATAGTGGAGCTCGGGGCATGCAGCCGTGCCGCGCCTCGCCTCCAGACGGAGCCCTGCGGATAGTGGAGCTCGGGGCATGCAGCCGTGCCGCGCCTCCGCACGGAGCCCTGCGGATAGTGGAGCTCCGGGCATGCAGCCGTGCCGCGCCTCCACACGCAGCCCTGCGGATAGTGGAGCTCCGGGCATGCAGCCGTGCCG